CCAGTGTGATGAACAGGACTCAAAACAAAACGAAATAATGCAATGTAGCGCAGCGGAAAACTCGTAGATATGACCTTACACATGAGATCCAGACTCACGCAATCATCATCACACACGTCACACAGCAAGGAGGGAAATCGTACACAGAAGAAAGATCCCTCCTTGCGCACACACATGGGGAGAAACCACGGATGATGAAGGGGGAGGAGAGACGAAGATGGAGAGGGGAAATAGGACGAGTAGAACTTGTAGTCGTCCAAGAAATAGTCTCCCCGTCAAATGCCCAACCAATGTCTGTCCTCAAAAATGTCGAATCAGATCCTGGGCTCCATGGCCTGAAGTAGTCACTGCCTGAAATCTCTCTCTCTCTCTCTGAAGAGGAAGAAGAAAAGAGGGAGGAGGAGGAGAAGAAGAAGAACAGTAGCAATGGAGGAGTGGAGAAGAATCAGGAGAAGAAGAAGAATTATCCTCTCTCACGTGCTCCTGATGGCGATGCTGTGAATACTGGCCAGCGAAGGTGATGACTCCCGATGCAGGTTGCTGCTGAAGGCCGGTCCCATGACCGGTATGCAGTCCCAGCTATGGCGCCCAGGTATGTCTCTCTCTCCCTCGTGGACATGGCCTCCACTCCAGCCTACTCCTCTAATTCTCGAGCGCTGCTCTATAGCAGCTCTCCCCAAACTGGCGCTGCTCCAGCAGCGTGACGCCCAAAGGAGGCTCCAGCCCGAATGTCCTCAAAGTGGAGGACTGGCCCAGCTATATACTGCTGGGCCGGGCTGAGCAGTCCTCGGTCTGTGATCAGGACCATCGGATCTGATGTCCGATCGATGGTCCTGATCGCAGGTCCCAGTCCTGGCCAAAAACAGCCTGCCTGGATCCCTACCGGACATCCAGGCAATCCTGCAGATGCAGCAGGGTCCTGAGGACTGGGCCAGGCACAAACAGACAAATGCCTGGTCCAGTCCCACATACGGACAAATCTGAACCTGGCCTACAACGGCCGAAACTGAGTCACGCAGCAAAAATAATAAATGCTGGGGGCCTGGCCTGGAATATGGCCGTGGGCCTCCAGATCGCTCACCAAAAATGGGTGTGCAGGTCGCTGACCAAAAATGGGTGTGCGGCCTGGGGGCCTGGAACAACCATCGGGCCCCAAAACAGGGCCGGCGTAGCGGCCTCAGCATGCCACACACACACACACACACACACACACACACACACACAGAGAGAGAGAGAGAGAGAGAGAGAGAAACAACATTTTGCATCCACTCTATGACAGGGAAAAGAGATCCCTTCTTCCCTCCTCACCGATAAGGAGGGTCTCTCCTTTCGTCCCTCAGGTAATGAAAGATCTGGGCCCGTCCTTTTTTTTTTGTTCATTATACTCTTCTGATCGTTTGCATCACCTGGCATAGTTCAGATGGTACACCCATGAACTGTTGAAATACAGACTGGAGTTTGAATCCGGATGCAATCAGATTTACAGATGAAATGTGTGCATCACTGCGTGTGGCATACCAGGTTCAAGAATGCGAGGCACAGGCACGGAAATGGCGCAATGCGCTTATGGAGCTCGCCGCTCACGTGATCGACGGAGATCCGGAACAAGCTCGTCAGCAAGCGAGAAAAGCTATGGCTATGGTTATTGGATCCTCATCAAACAGTTAACTAGGCGGTGTGCCGCTCAGGGGGCCATCCACATAGCCATCTACCTTAGGTAAGCCTCCTGTTTCTGGCATTCCCCTCCTCCTCTCCCCCTCCTCCATCCCCCCCC